AATGTCAGTGTACCACGGTCAACCACGTATCCATCGGGCAAATAAGTTTGGTTTCTCGCAAATAAAGTGATACAATATTTATTGGCACTAATGGCCACAACATATGAACTGACATCGAAACAAAGCTTTAGAAACTCAATGGATATATTGGTATTATCTAGGTGATTCCCATGGATAATACAGTCGAAAAAATCTTCGGGTGCTTTAAATGCCGCAAATTGTTGACGGATTGTCAATGAGTTTAAATGTTGCAAAATATTTGTCTTTGTTTTATCAATACTTGTGTTGCGATTATAGTTTGCAATGAATTCATGGCTTAATAGAGAGATCTTATTGAGACATATAGTGATCGCCGGAAGTGTGATCTCGTCGTCCGACTCGTACTTAACATTAGTTGTCGTTTCGTATGAAAAGTATAATAAACTTATTTTGTAGGTCTGATACACACATCCCGATAAACAAATCAACCGGATCACAATTTTGTATAATTTTGTCAAATTCATATTTTAATTAATTATATTTAATACTTGTTTTTAAAATATAGTTTATTGATAATGTTCAAAAAAATATAAAATATAACATACAAGCTACTAACTAATAAGTATTTATCCTTAGGTGTGTTAAACATTATACACTACGTATTACTGACATTTACACTTTTATTTATATAAAATATTATTTTGATTAGATTTTTACTTTGAAAATTAAACGATAATATTTACTAGTATAATATTATATAAGTTATTATTGATATAGTATTGCATATTATTGATTTATGTTAATTAATACAAATACAGTATATTGTATTATCATAATAAGTTGTAATATTCATTTCTAAAAATAATTAAATAAATATTTTGCTTGTTATTATCATATTATGCAACATTATCGATTGGTATTTATATATGTTATTCAGTTGAATTTCATATCAAACTACATTAATCAAGTGAATTAATTAGTATAGTTGTTTAAACAATATATTAGCTAGACATTTTATTTATTTTTAAAAATGTAGCCGTAATTAAACTCAGAATCTGCAAATTAATACAATTTTATAAATATTCAAAAATTTATTGACTGATGGCATACTTCTAGACTACGAAATGAATTGATGAAAAACAGTCGCCAACACTAAAAGTCAACCCTTTTCTGAGCCATACATTTAATCAATGATTGCAACTATTTTGGGATAAAATGTAATTTTAGACAAAATAAATTTAGAAAAATATTAAAATATTAAGTAAATATTTACTTTTTATTTAATAATTATGTTATTATAATATTGTTTTTCGGTGATTGTGAATAATGTATGAATTAATTATAGTAATGAATAGTCTATAATAATTATCAGGATTACTATGAACTCGGAATTAACAAAGATAAAAATAATAGTTTCAAATAAAATGACATATTTGAATAGAAACACTTAATAACACATTATATTATAATTATTCGTTTGGTATTCCCAATAAAAAGTATTTAAAATAGTATTATATAATATTTACATAGTCGAGAAATATAAATGTATTTATTTCCATATTTGGTATTTGCGAACAACATAATTATTAGATGTAACTTGTATGTTTAAAGGACAACATAGCTGATTGTGATTAATATTTTTAAATTTCCCGCAAATATCAGGGATAACGTCAGTTAGAAATAATATGGAGAATCCAAACCATAGGCTAAGTATACTCGCCATAAGACACGCGAACTCTTCGGCAGACATTTTCAGTTGGATTTCGTATACAACTCGCGGTTCGGTCGGAAAGTCCACTCTAAGGGCATACGAGTCATTGCTTGAATGCCAACCCCTATTACTACTGGTTTTCACATTTGTTTTATAATACTCTTTACGACAATCGATAAGAGATTTACACGATTTTCGACACATTAAAAACGAGCGCAAAAATAACGCCTCGTTTTCAATGAATTTGTGACTACTATTCACGTCATTGATGAACATATTACTCGGGAAACCTTTTGTAGTCTCAATGAATTTGTCCTGGATACAGTCGTATATACATTGATCGCGATACATGGACGCACCACATTGAATACGACCATGGTGAGTGAATGTGTATTCGATGACCGAGGAACTATATAGAATGGTAGTCGTATGTGAATTTTGTATATTAACATACTTACTATCATTGAAATAGCGATTGTATTTTAATAAATCCTTTGAGTTAAGCTTGATATCTAATGAATCTTGATCGATCAATGTCCTATTTCTAATAGTAAACTGCATATAGGTACTAAACATTAAAGTACCACGGTCAATAATGTATCCATGAGGCAAATGGTCCTTATTAGCTGTAAATATTGTCAAACAATACTTATATCCACTAATAGACACCTCGTATGGGCTGACCCTGAAACAATCCCTAATAAAGTCTATTAAATCCATGCGATCCGATAAATTGTCCTTGTTTGAATCATTTCGATAAACAACACATTCAAATATATCTGCCGGTGCTTTAAATGCTGATAATTGCTGGCTAATTGTAAACGTATTTAAATATGAATTGATATCTGTTTTCGTTTTATCAATACTTGTGTTGCGATAATAGTTTGCAATGAATTCATGGCTTAATAGAGAGATCTTATTGAGACATATAGTGATCGCCGGAAGTGTGATCTCGTCGTCCGACTCGTACTTAACATTAGTTCAGAGAGACAGTTATTCATTAATATTTCAGAAATTCAGAGATTAAATATAAAGTTGTGACGAATTAGTCTGGCTTTTGGATAAGATTTAAGTTATGGCTAACTATGGTTAAGCGAGAGAACAATACCTATGCCTTCAATTAGCTCAACATATTGTAAGTTACCTGCAATTGGGGTCACATATGAATCATTGCATTAAATTTTTTGATGAATTTTGCGATAAAAAGTAAAAATTTTTGAATACAAGCGAAACGTAGGATTAGTAGTGAGATGTGGTTGAGATTTACCGTTGAATTTCATAAGACATAAGGAAAATATAATTACTGCATTGCAAAAAAGATTTGTATATGTATTATACTGTATATCGTATACTGTATATGCTGTAGAAATTGCTCCGAGAAATGAAAACTTGCTTTCAATGCTTTGCAACACTTTTTCTGTTCAATACTTAAAGCTTTTTGATCAGAAAAGGAGGATTTCATTGAATTCTCTGTTTGAACTGATGCTGGAATCGTGATACTCGCCCAACACTACCCATACAGCCAAACACAACACAATATGTATCCCTTGCGGCGATTGAAAAAAAGTTTTCATGTTTTAGTTTTTTAAGACCTCACCCAAAATCATGCCCTAAGCTATCGGAGCTATAGATATACAGTACAGTATAAAATGCTGAGGAGTTTTGAGCCCAGAATATAATGTGGAGTAAAGCTGTTGTGTGTGCAATGCATTCGCGTACTGTTGTATTGGTATGCCTTTCGGCACAAATCCAATTCACTATTATTCCTATGGATTACTAAAAGCTTCTATTCCTCTATTTTCTGCCCACAGATTCAATGCACTAAATCAGAGCAAACCTCATACCTATCATAGCGTTTCCAACACAACAACACCCAAGTATTGCACCAGAATTGCAATCAAAACCTTATTTAATTTGATTTAAACTTTTTTGACATATTTTCTAACCATTAGTTGCAAAATTATTCTCTCTCTCTCTCTCTCTCTCCTCTCTCTCTCTCTCTCTCTCTCTCACGTAATAAAATATGATGTAATTTCTGTCAAAACCATATCTCAAACACCAGACTTCCAATAATTATAAGCCAATTGTCTGCAGTACCCGAGTCTGTACTTTACTTTTAGTTAAAAATAATTTTAAAACTAAACTATAGCTACAAATAAACATTCTTTTGACTAGAGATTGGATTCAGTTATTGCTTTTATCCCATCAGGGGATCCCGGATTCAAGAACCCACCCTTTGGCGCGGTATTGCCCCTAAGCTATGCTATATTCTGTCTGTCGGGCTCTCATATAATCAATGACTTCTCTCTTAAATTAAGATACTGTGAGCTATGGTATGAATTCGTAATATTCTTATATATAAATCAATTTAAATATTTTCAGATCCAATTAATTGCAAAACTTCTAATTCTTCTCAACTCTTTCAAAAATTCTCTCTTGTTTTGTATGAAATTGTGATCAAAACTAAAACTCATCGCTTTTAATAGTAATAGTTTGAGGGCATTATGTTTTGCATCCATTATGCAATCACAATAATAAGACATTTTTTCTAATTCAGACATCTCGCATTTATTTTCTATAATATTTTGGTTTATAATATATAATTATTGACAAATATTTTTGGAGAATATTCATTTTGCAAATAAAATATAAATTCTATTGTAATATACTGTATATACAAATATATTCATATCAAGAATTGATATATAATTGGCAATCAATTTTAGTAAAATCAAATAATGTTTTCTTATTTAACAAATTTATTAATGCCATTTCGCAGCTTTTTACATTATATGGCACTTATATTCATCTGTTTTATAATACTAAATTATTAACAAATAAATTGAATTTGTATTACAATACTTACAATTATTATTATTATTATCAGATTATAGTTATATGTTATATGAAACAAAATAATGCAAATCAAATACTCGTAATTAAGTTAGCAGATTCTAAGGACTAATTAGATGAAAATATAAAAATTAAACCTTATTGATAGAACTACAATATAGTTTTAGAGATCATATTGTTAATTTTTTAATAAATGGACAGACAGTTTAGATTGTAATCAAAGATCTTATCCGTTTGTATTTTCAACTATTTTTAAGCATATTTCCAATTAATAATTATAAATATGATAAAATCACACGACAGTCAGACAATATTTGTTTGAAACCTTATGTTTTGTTAATTTTGAACTATAATTTAAAGACTACTAAAAGTTTGATTTATGATTTAAATAGCAACTATTGTATGCCATATAAAAGAGAATTGATATAATAAATCGTGAATAATGGAGAATTATAGTGGCATTTAAATGGATATAAAAATGTTCATAAAATACTCAAAGAGGTAAGTATTTTCTTCCGAGTAAATACTCGGAAAACTGTTGTCCTTCAACTCCGCCCCCATTTGATGCCATAATTCTGAATCCGTTGTTCAATAATCTGGTGATTGTTTGCAGTGAATTGAGTTTACAGTAACCATTCAATGGGAAACGGATCACATGTTTGGCGTCTTGATTCCAGGCCACACCACTGCGAGAGTCCATCAATGTTTGGCTGATTTCCGGGAATACTTCTTCGATCAGATTTCTCTCACCGCTTATGCAAACCCTTTCGCCCAACTCAGGAGATATATTGAGTGCCAGGCATTGAAATCCGGTCTCATTTTCGTGGTTTCCAGTTGTGGGCGAAACCACTCTTCCATCAGAAGAGCAGTTGTGAAGACAATTGTGTCCGTTATTGAAGTGATATTTGTTTGTAATTCTATTTTTGGTGCTATAGTTATGAGGAAATACACTACTATTAGGAGATGTGCTTCGACTGCAACTATTGGATCCATTGTTTCTCTCTTTTCTCATTTGTTCCAATAATCTGTCAGTCATTCAAACAAAATCTCATTATTAGCCAAATATATATGTCTTTCAAATCAAATACTTGTTTGACTACAACTCTGTTTGCTTTTTCAGTTGAGTTTTATTTTTAAATTTCTTAAACAAGTGTTTTTAAAAGTTTAAAATAATTTTTTATCTAGAATCACATAATTAAGAATTGAACTTTCTATAAATCTACAGACTCACACACACACACACACACACACACACACACATTTATACTGTAATAACACAAATATAACTTAATATTTAATTATTTTCTTGATAATAATATTAAATTATCCTTTTTTAATCATTATACTGTCTTGAATTTAATTTAATAAACCATATTATAGACTCTATTATATTTCAATATATTCTGTAAATTTTATTTAATAAATTCTGTAATATTCTCGCAATTAGTTCAAAATATAGAATTCTGTTATTAAATTAAAAATTTTATATCCTTGCTAAAATTTAATTATTTATTAAAAGCTTCCTCATTATTTTTCTAAATTTTGTTTTATAATTTATATTAAATAGATAATTAAATATTAATTCATCAGAAAATGCTTGCATCATTACAAATTTTATATATTCTTTAATATAGAATAATTTTAATTAATAAACTTAAATAAACTTACCGTAATAGGGCCGGTATGTCATAGAACTTGACCTCTTCGTACAACAAATCAAATTCACTAAAATTCTCGGAAACCACTAATGAATTTGTTCGCAAAAAGTTCAATATATGTCTAAACATTTTGCCGTCTCTGTCGATGAAGTAATGCTGTTTCAAACTGTCCAATACTATAGGAATGGATCCGTTGAACATTCGCGCCAAACGACTCTCAGGATGTCTGCAATACATATTCATTTCGGTTAAGACACGATAATTTATTTATTGTAATTTTCAATCATAAATTCTATTGTCTATTATTTATAATTATTTATTAGATTTATTAAATATTGTTTCAAAATTGATAAAGTAATTAATCACAAATATCAGTCATTGACTTAATTTCAATTGTCTGCAGCTATTGTCCTGATTTAGCATTTGATAGGAATATATTTTCTCATTCAATCAATTGTTCTTTAAGTTGTTATGCATTTCAAGACTTTAGTTTAAATCCATTCATTTAAAAAAATAAAAGCAAAAGCAATAGTTTGTAAAGCATTATAATTGCTTTGAAGTTAATTACATATCCACCCATTTTTGCAATAATTTTAAATTTAGTAATCATTATTCACAATTAATGCTTTTGTAGTATAAAATAACTCAAACAAATTGATTGAATGCAAACCATTTGTATTGATAACTAATGAAGTGAATTGGACTTACTTTGTGAGCGTTTCCAGTGAAGACGTATAGATAGATCCGCCGACGTCTATATGTACGGGCGCTGTATATCTGGAAGCGGCCGCAACGCATGGTATTCCCGATATCTTGTGGTTATAGTTTCCTGTCGGAGAGGTTTGCACTGGCGATGAACTGCCACTTAGACTCTGGCAATGATCGGCACTACCCACGGATGAGGCACCGGCTGACAGGGCACTCATGATCTTCTGTCCGTTCCAAGAGCTATGGCGTCAGGTATTTAAACAAATGGTTTGAATTGTCAAATAATGTGTTTTCAATAATGTTTTGAGATTAAAGATTAAGGAATTGATAATTTTGTCGAAAACCAAGTCAATAATTATTTTGTTTGTGAGCGAAATAACAGAATTTTATTGAATGCATAATTGATTGCGAATCCAATCGACAACTAGAGGCCATTCACGATATACACGCGCTCATGGCCTCCGACTCTTATAATATTCAAATGTAGGCCCCGAGCGATGTTCCGGTATATGAAAGTGTGCGTAACCTTCGTTAGAGTATTTAAGACCCGGGGCAAGGAGAGAGATGGCCACAGGCCAGGCATACTAATGCACACATACTTTGGGTGGAATACAGTATTCAAATCACTCTCGACATCAATTTTCTCTCTAATTCTAAAATAGATGCCTTCAAAGTATTGAAAGGATTATATTTTATTAGTTTTTCTATTACAATATATCGTGAATACCGTATCACAAACCATATACAAAGCGAGTGCACTAAAAGTCACAATTAATACCAATATAAATTTTAATCTTGATTTTTAAAAATCCATATAAATTAAGGAAAACTTGTGTTTTCAAGATGTATTTAATTAATTCTCAATTATTTAATTTGTTTTTCACTTATATATATGATTTTGTTTGACGTAAAAAATTTATTTCATTTGACGATTGATTATATAAAATCAAAAATCATTTTGTGCGGAGATGTGCTCAGGGATAAGACATTTATTTTGCAATCTGTAGTATTAATGTTAAGCTTGGAGTTAACGATTAATTGGTTAAATATTTAAAAAATAATTAAACAATTTGAAAAGCATGTTATCACTTTAATCATAAACTAATCTACAAGATTCTGATTTTCTTAAAATATATATTTACTGTAGTTACCTTTTTACCAATAAGTTTAATTCATTATAAATGAGAAATGTACGTTTATTTTACAGTAATTAATATGAAATAATATACAGACATACAGAATAATAAAAATCGTAAACCATTCAGCAGCTATTCATAAGAATTTTACGCACAGTAAGAATTTATTATGAATAGTATTAGGAATTTATATTCAATTATTATTTGAGATTGAATACTATATAAATGTAATTCAATAGAAATTAAGTATGATACATTCAGTTTTCAAAAGTCCTTTACATTTCTCACCGTTTCAGAGATTTATTGTTGAGGTTAGAAATTGTTTGTTAACTAATCATTTCCTCAAATAACACTATTTTCCTCAACAGTATTGTAAGTAAATAAAATAAAATCCAGTAAAAATTAAATAATAATATTTTAGACATACAATTAAAACATATTTGTTTT